AAGCATGAACTGCTATTATGGTTAGTATATATGAGAATAAATGCTTAGAGCAGCAGAAAGTTCGCTTCTACTATCAAAACATTTGTTAGTATGAACCGAAATATTTTGTTGCAATAAACGAGACTCTTATCAGAAGCAGCATCAAAACTCGGTTAAGATAACCGACTACAATTGTCTCAGCAACGGAAATCTTCCAGAAGAATTTTTCTGTTGCTACAACCGAGTTTTCGTCTGGTTCCCAGAGAACAGAAAATTTCGGTTGCCACAACCGAAATTCGGTTGCACGAACGGAAAATTTTTTTCCGTGTATAGGAGATTTTTATTGGCACGTTCTTACTTAATTTTTATGATGAGTCAAAGGAAATAAAAGTCATGTCATAGTTAAAAGTAAATTATGAATTATCTCTTCGAGTTGATTGCAGTAACTGCTAAATTTTCGACGCGATATGCATAATTTTTCTTGCTTGCATCATTAATATTATTTTCATTAATTTTAATAATTGATGTATTTATATGTTATTTTCATGCATACACTTCAATACAAACTTAAAATTAAACAAAACAAGAATGTATATACATATAAACCTTTGAAAACATAAATCCGTGTTCAATTAAAAATAACCCATTTTTTCCACACTCGAATTATTTTTACTCAAACCGAATTTCACTTTCGCGATGGTTTTTCTCGATGTTTGCAAATGAATGAATCGAACGCTGTACCTTCACGAGGATCTAAGTTTCTAATGTGCATGGCTGCAAATTCCACGCTCGAAAAAGCCTGAAAAGACAGACGTCAGAATTTTTCCCTGGGGTAATATATATTTTACTGTAGGAACGCAGGATTAATCACTTTTGCGTAATGAACTTTAAATGTTTCTTTATAAATTTAAAAATATCGATAATAATATAAATTAAATATTGTCGCAACTTCGACGATAAAGTGAGTGGAATATAGAAAACTCCGAATGAATATCGTAGAAAATGTTAATTAGCTCATTCAGTTCATGACACATGTCCACCTACAGCTTCAAATATTAAAAAAAATGTATAAAAAATTTAAAAACATGTTAAACAGATACTTAATAAATGGTTTTCACTAAAGGCAGTTTTTGATTCAGAATACAAATTTCGCGAATGTATAAACGGATAATGGACAATTTAAAGAGCAACTATTAAATAATATACTAAAATAACTCTTTAAAAGTTAATCAGTACATGGTCATTGAAAACATTTATATACTGAATTATTCAGTGCTGTATTTATAACTGTGACTCTGTGAATATTCATTGTTTTCAGTGATAATCCACTGATTGACTTTTAGAAAGTAGATGTACCTAATCTATTAATTTGTATTAACTGATCTTCTACAAATTGTTTGATTGTGCACTCGGCACGGAAAAGTTACATGTATGTTTCGATATTTCCACAATCTATTCATATTTGCAGTCACGTGCCACAATATGCGTAGCAAAATATTCCTTTGGTTCTCACCGAACAAATTAGGTAACACGTGCGATGCTTCGAGTAAAGAACAAATAAAAAACACTTTAACGAATGTATGCGCGCAAAAGCGCATATTATTCTCGGTATAGCGACGGTATTGTTTATTTTGCGCACAAATTGCATCACCGATGAAATCGACTAGACAGATTTGATCAAGTCCTTTCTCCGTTTTCTGTCGTAAGTTCAGAAATTAGGTTTCGATGTCGCAAGTGTTAATTGATGCACGTAAATTCTCAATATCCATAACATGTTTTCTCGGTAATTGGCAAATAAGTCGTATACCAATGCGTTTAACGTAAATACGAAACTTTCGGAGAAACTACAAGAAAATACCGTTCAAAATGTTTAATAGACTGGTATTAACAGGAAATGCGTAATTATTACATTCCACAATATTCTTATAGCAAAGACTTTAAACGTTCAGTGGTGCAAATTATTTACGGACGTAATATCTTATAATTCCTACGCTTTGTTAAAATTCTTTTTTATACTATTGTTTTTGGATCTTTAGCTCGTTAATCGAACTTTAGTTCGATGTATGGACCTTCAGCAATGTTTCTTTATTTGCACTTCATATGTATGTATGTATAACTAATTTTGCGGTCAATAGGTATCTAAATAATAGCACGTCATTATCGGTCGCGTTAAAGTCAGTGACTTTCTCGGCCGCGTCCTTAAAAAGTTCCGGCCGTCCATTCACGCGTCCTTCGGCAAGACTCGTAGCAAGACTCCTTCGAGACTCGCGAGGAAATTATTAGAAATTGTCTTTGACGATTGATCTTTATATATATATATATGTATTCTTAATGTCTTGCCACAGAAACATTAACATGCATGTTGTTTTTCTTGGAACATATACTGCTGTTATTAATTCTTAAATATATACCAGGTACCTATGGAGGTTATTGAATATACGAATCACGTTTCATTGTACATAACAATTGTGGAATGTTTGCAGAACCGGTATATATACATACCATCACCGTATCTACGAGTTACACAGAAAACTACGTACAGCGAATTGATATACAATATTTACAAAATACATATATATATATGTATTACATTTACAGCGTGTGTTTTGTAGACGTAATATAATTAGTAAAGTTGAGTGTGTAATACAATTAATAATAAAATAAGTTAAAGTTAAATTTAACACTTTAATTATGAAATTCAAAAATTTTTTTCCAAACAAATAAAACTTTCAAAATTAAAGTTAAAAATTATTTATTAATTGTACTCATTTCTACGCTTATTTAATTTACGTAAAGTTAAAATAATTTCTAATGCATATCATAAAAATATCCCCAAAAAACGGAATATTGAAAACTAATGTAACAAATTTAATGGTAGATAAAAATATCCCTCATAGATAAATCTATATTGTGCATATATATATATATATATATATATATATATATATAACCATAATTGAATGATATCCATAATTAACTAAAATTAAATAAACAGTAACTAATATACCAACAAATCTTTAATGTAAGATATAATATATAAACAACATATCTAATATACGTATTAAGAATATTTGCCGATTGTGAGTTGCGAAAGACTTGGAAACCGCTCACCAATAATTTCATTGAACCTGAGAGATTGGCATGCGAGTGAATGTGCTAAGTGATTGATAGACTTTTCCATATATTGCCATATGCATTTACATCTATGAAGAGATTTTAGTATTAAGATGTTTTTCTTTGTTTCATGCTTTACGCGTAGGTGAATCTACTTTATTTATGTAAAACTGCTTGGTAATTGACCAAATAGAGATAAATCCAAAACAGAAAGAGACAAACTCTATGTACTTACGTGATTCAACTGAGCAGAACTATTTGCGTGACAAATACAACAGATAAGTAGATAGATAAGTGGATGTATATCCAATTATGTATTTAGCGCAATTTAGTACATTAATACCATGTACAAAGAATAATTATAACATCTCGGAATAGCAAATAGATATATCAACAAACACTGTATGAATAAAACTGTGCGGAGTATTAATTACTACAGATTTGTATTACATGTACAATTACTAAATAACATGTACAATTACATGTACAATTACTAAACAACTACTAAATAACAATATATTCAAATTTTTTAGTTCTTCAGCGTACGCTGTAATTAAAATAAGAAATTAAAGTGGGGCAATATCATTTTCGAAATTCCACTTGAAAATATAAGTCACTTATTGTATAATAATTAATTTGCACTGACCAGACTTTAATTTTAGATTTATTGTTAAAGAAATACTCCGATCTTAACTCAGATCTAAGTAAATGTATAAATTTTTCACTAAATAAATATATAATTTTATCCGTACGAAAGTCAGAATTTTCTAACAGATCTTTTTAATTTGTTTATTCTCTTTGAGTTATAATGTAAAATGTAGTCGGGCTTTTTTTATATATAACAATGTATAATACATAAACAATCGGATAATGTTACGAAAAAAGAGTTTTGTTCTTACAAAAATAATAATTTTGGAATAATTAAATTTAAAACATAAAACTTGTGTTGCCGTCTTATCTTTGCATGCTTATTCTTTCGTTCAATTTAGATTAGATTAGAAGTTAGATTAAAAATAACAGGAGAAAAATAAGTCGGTCAACTATGGGTGTTTTCTAATTGTCATCTGAACAAAGTATTCCCGCGAAATATAATTTATTGACAAGATTATAATATTAATACTCACATAAAAGTGCAAAATAAAATCACCAAATCTTGGCCAGAATCTTCTTATCACCGGCCAGAGCTAGGATAGTCGACGCGTAAGCTATTCTCAATCGCAATCTTGCGATCTCAAAAACTCTTCAATCCACTGATCAATTTGCGTCAAGTTTCAGTAATTCGTCGATCTTCATAAAAAATCGACACTGAGAAGATACTCGCTACGATTAAACTCTTAATTGTCGGTGCTCCATCAAATCGGTTTCACGATCTGTTCGCTGTTCACACGACTGCGTACCGGATCGAAATGCCGAGGGAGATTATACGTAACTGTTTTAAGACGTGAGAATCAGAATAAAAAAAACTGGGAAAACTAGAAGAAATTGGGAAAACCTGATTATTGTAAATGAACGGAGCAGATTAGTCACTGACGCAAGTTAACAAGCGACTGTCGAACAGCGTGTATGGAGTGACGGTATCTGCAGTACGACGGATGTACTGTGTACCACGGTTCTTTCCCCCTTTCGCAAACGACGTAGACGTCCTCCGGAGTAGTAGCGGCAGTAGCGGCATAGAGTAACAAGTAAAGTGTTTTTATCAGACCGGTATCCCTCTTTTCATCGTGTTGTCATTGGATACTAGGAGGCCTGTCACCTGTGAGGAGAGAGATTTATGCTTAATTTATGTCGATATTCATTTCTCATCGGCTTCGGAAAGGAAACTGTAATACGTAATTAAAACTTCTAAAGAATCTAAAGTAAAAAACACGGTTTTAAGACAAATTTACTTTTTACAAATGCATATAATTTTTACAGCAAACAATAAATACTTTTCCACAATAAAAAATGTAATATGTTTAATAATTGTAAAACAAGAGAGATCAAATTGCAAGTATAACGGGAACATTTTGAGTTGTTTTTGAAAAAAGAATTAAAATTATTAATTTTTTTTATAAAGGGATGATACATAAAATATAACATCTCGCAGGAATTCCCACTTGTCGATTTGCAAAATGTATTTACACCAAGCGATAAAAATATGCTTATCGAAACGGACTTGGGCGTTGCTGTATGAATCTCGCAAATTTGTTCTTCTTGTTAATCAAACATCCGCAATTAAACAGGTAAATTCATCAGTCATTTTTACAATCAGTACATTAATAAAATATTTACTTCATGTCTGTAATTTGGAAAAATGTGCTATGAATGCTATAACATTATATATAAAACGTTAAATTGGATACAAAAACGAAAAGATTTAGAAACGAAAAAACTATTTAGAAAAGAAAACATAGAGTCATGTGTAAAAGTTTTTAAGTTAATTTAGCCTTTTAAAATATCTCATATCTTATTTCGCAAATATATATATATATATATATATATATATATAGTCATAAAAACAAGTATTCTTTTCTGTCGTTGTGCAACTTAATTGCGTTAGAAGGAGCCTAAGAAAAATATGAAAAAGGAATGTAATACATAATATGATCCGGCGTGGATACTTTGGGCATCAAAGAAAACGTGCTGAATCAATACTCAACAAACAACTTAGGAATCCATGCCTTAATTGCTGTCTTAGAAAGGAGACAAAGTATACATATAGATTTACATAATTACGATCTTTATTCACCACTTGACTTGAGAATTCTTGTAATACCGTAGATTATGAGAATATTTGTATATTGTCATTTTGAAACTTGACGTAACAGAGATCGGTTGCACTTAGAAATATATATTTGCGCGTAGTGGTCGGCACATTGGTGGATTTCTTACGGTTATGTTAATCGATTAGTCGACTGTCGCTCAAAATTTCTTGCGAAATCCATGCTTGATGGGTTACATTCGGATTTTATCTTTCAAAATTGTATTACGACATTACCTGTACGTTTGCGGTTTTTTTTGCGCTATTAGCTTCGCTATTGAAACCCATTATCTCGCAACGCAAATATACGATTAATGCGGATGATGAAAAATGTGTGAGGACTAAAAAAAGAAGGTGTGTACTTGCAATATTGTAATTATGACACTGTTTGGAGTAACAGGGAGAGATTTACATTATAATTTTACATTATGAGCAGTCACATTTATTAGCAATCACAACTGTTAGACAATCAATTGTATGTAATAACCGGAAGAACTTTATGTATAATATGTTTCAGATAACAGCGTTAAGATTATAGACATTTAAATGATATTTTCTAGTATATCCTCCCATGTACTAATTGTTAGAAATTTAAGGTATTATATGTAAAATCAATTTAATGTATTTATTATACAATTAATATATTTAAGCTATATAATTATATGAAATATAGCAAGAAAAAAAATCGTATTTAATACCTAAGCTATTCATCCAACACTTAATCAAAATGAATAAATCATGCACTGTGTGATAAACAAAGCTATTATGTCATGATATTCCACATATTTCCATATCTCACTACCGCATTTTGAATTATTTACAGAAATGACTTCAATTAATAAGCCAGAACAAGGCTCGTTGCGTTTCCTGTGCATCTTGTCTATATGTATATTACTATTGTAATGTATCACTTCGCAACGATAATCTGCAATGTTACGTATGTGTTTTAATAAGAAGACTTATGCAACTGCAATTGCAAAAAAAATGTAATTTTTCATCTTGTATAAGAATTTTTTTTATCTAATTAAAATTTTTTAAAAATTATAATTAGTAAGATTTTTTTCAACACATTGGATTCAGTTAAACGCAAGAAGAAAGACATTGCGAAAGACATCTATCATCAAATTTGATGTGTGTACAAAGAGATTGGCCATAAACACGCTGGAAGAAGTTGCGGAGGAGGTAGGTAATGTAGGTAACGTCTCTCTCTTTTTACAACTTTTTTGTTTCCTGTTAACCTTGGTTGAGACCTTTCAAATCTTTACTTTGAGGCCGTTTCCTAAAAACAAATTAAAATTCTTTTAAGAAACAAGATTAAGCGTGGAAACCTTACTGGTACCCGCAAATGTCTAAAGAAACGGAAAAAAACTGTGCATAAGCTATGATGTATGATTTTGCGTAGCAAGAATTCGAAATAATAATTAAATAAATTAATAACATCGGTGATTTTTGTCGACCGTGTCTGGCAATTAAAATTCTTATTGCGAAAAATATTACCCCAGCCAGGACTCTGGGACAGCCTGGGACCTCCCTACAATCCGTGACGGGCGTCTTAGCCAGCTCGACCACCGGGGCTGTGATAATACTATTCGCAATAGCGTGTATACCCAGCAAACACCAAATATAACAGGCATGTGTTATATTACATTTATATTGATGTTATGTAACTGTTACTTTGGTGTTTGCTGGGTATAACTTTAAGATGTTATTTACGCGTCTATTTCGACTTTTTCAGAAACTGTGCGTCGATCTACGGATTGTCGACCGCACAATAACTTGTCGATACGCGATTTTTGAATTTCCCTTTCCCTTCCCTCCCCCTGATCCCATTTCTCCTAACGGAGGAAAACCAAGTTTTTTGGTTAATATAAATAGTTTATATATAAAGCAATTAAAATTCTTAGATAAATAGAATTAAATAGGACCCTATCAATATAAATCCAACAAACGAGAGTGTTTTTAGGTCCGAGCAAGATGTTGGTAGCCCAATAAAATTGTAATCTAAAATGTATTAATGTAAAATTCATATACCATTTTCTATCTAGTCCTGCCGGCAGGTTTTTTTCGGACATAAAACAGTTTCAATTTAGACGGAATCATTCATGTTAGCAAATCACGTCAGAAATAGTTTAATTTAAATAAATTAGTATTTAATAGCAGATTGTTCGTATAGTATATACGCACAATTTCTGCTAATACAAAATGAAGCCACTATTATTAAATAATGTAAATGCGTGTTAATTATTGCATGGATTTTTTGCACCTATTAATTTGTTATTACTATTTTTCAGTGATAATTACATACTTTATGTGCATCCATACAATTTAATCGCTTATATAATAAACAGATGAGAAAGTAATAATTAAATGCAAGAAATTATTCGACAATTACCATTTAGAAGGTCGGACTTATCGCTTCTATGGATATTTATTATATAATGACATCAAATGTCAAGGCATATAGAATTATGATGGTTTATATAATAATATATCTCGCGTATGCAATAATTACATGCACGTTTCTCTAATTCTGTAGCTTTACACGATGCTTGTACACATGTATTTACGAGAAACATCGTTCCATGGAATGTTTATCCTAAGCATAACAAGAGGATTACAGTTTCTTTCGTAATAATATATAATGTTAATTGCGTCTTACTGACGAGTTGGGTTTCCTTGAATAGAAACGTCGGATTATTTTTTCTATCAGAAACGTAGATTTCTTCTCGGAAAACTCTTAGTGAATACTTCTTGTTTAGCAACGATATTAAAGTCTTAAAATAGTTTCACAGATATGCTTCCTTATATTTATCTCTCTTAATTGTATAAAAACTACTACATTATTGTTCCTACAATAGTCAATATTTCTTTTAGCGATTTTTTACCTGCGCAAATAATGTTATTATACCATTTTTCCTTCTTCTCTATCTTTAATATTCAATATTCCAAAGCAGAGTAACAACAACTTTTTCTATTGATAAGTGCACGTATCACTGCATATAATTATTTGTAATATAATTCTCTTCATTTAACGAATTTTCGATGCACATTTGATATACATTCATAATATGCAAAACATGCAAAACATGATGCAAATTCCTTCATCATGTGTTACCATTTGTCTAATAATAGAATGATAAAGATAGAAATGTTTATAATCAAATCTATTGCTTGGTGTATTTAAAAAATTGTAATCCAATCATCATTATAAAACCAATCGGTTTTCTTTTGACTGTGCTTAAAAAATTTTTTTGATTGTTACTTTCACAGATATGTTACGACCTTCGAAGTTTTTGCAAAATTTGCAAATATCTTGTTCTCTTATTTCCCCTTTACTTTTGTTATTTTCAGTTTTGCTGAGGACTACTCTTTCATGCCACTTTGTTTTCGATCCTTTAGCGTTGCCTAAAATATGTTAGGTTAAAATTGGTATGAACGAGACCTGACATATGTTTTATGTGAAAGTATACGTGTCTCTTTAAACAAAGACATTTAATATTTAAATAATAAAGATGTAATAATTTTTTAAATAATAAATAATAAAGATGGAGTAATTTTGAACTGATAAAATAAAAAAAAGTGATTTAACTATTTACACTTGAAATAAATCCATATTCAAATTTTTTACAGCCGGTATCTGTATTTAAATATATAATTAGATACCATTTGTATAAAATATCTGTATACTCTCGTACTTTTAATCATTGTGTGTCTTTAATCAATAATACTACGATTACCAATGCAGAAAATATTTATATCAATATTCGGGTATCCGTATCGAAAGGGTGTCACGTCGGTATCTTTGTGCCGTCTGGTTTCCTATCAAATGCTGCCCTCTGTTATACATCGCAACGCAAAACAAGTCTCCAGTTCGCAGGCGCGTCTTCCGGCCTATGTACTGGTTCACCATCTCCTATATGCCAGCCGGGACGCATTCCTTCCTCGTGTCTCACTGGAACCGCCAGTTCCACCTCTCTCTTTCTCTCTTTCTCCCTCATCCCACCGCGCCCTTCTCGCCACCGACCTTCGTCCTTATATACCAGTTCTACAGTACTTGCGTGGTAGCGGCCGTTTTCACAGCGACCCCACTACCAGACCCCACGACCAGTTACTTGTAGTCCGTCTGGTACCTGATGCGGCAACAGTTGTTACCCGCTGCACTCACTGTCTGCCTACTTTGCTCTTATTCAATCAATGATTGTTTTCCTCCTCGAGTTCCCCTGCTCGTTCTCTTCGCGAGCGATCATTTTGTTCTCTCGCGCGGCTCTTATCTGTATGCATCCGTGAACGTCCGATAAGAGCGACAGTGTCAGGGTCAGTGTGAGTGGGGCAACGCGGCGGCGTGTAAGAGCGAGCGTCGTGAGAGTTTGGTGCGGTGCAACACGGGTGAAGGGATTCATCCTCGTCTCTCTCCCCCGACGACCGTCATCAGTCACCGTCGACGAAACATGTCTCTCATCGCCGACTGCTTTCGCCGTCTGACGGACATCTCGTCTTGCAAAAGCGAGGTACGCGACACGTGCTGCTTGTCTGGTATGCCAGTTGCGCGATAAACACCTGATGTATCGGAACATCGTGTACAAAGCAGAACGAACGCTCCGACTGCATTCTTGAGGAGCGATTGGCAATCCAAGAAATTTTCTTACCTTCAAATCTTTCGTTTTCTTTAAACAATTGCATTTATCGAATTTATCCAAGCTACTTTTTAATTAAGCTGCACTCTTTGGGATTAAATAAGACTCGAGCTGTGAACGCAAAGAGATCCTCTCAGTCGTCGTTGATTTATAATAAATGTCCAAAAGTTCAGTGTATAGTGAAATATTTATTATTCCTACCGCTAATACTGTTGCTGTATTTACCAATACTATTACTAACTATACATATTCTACCAATAATACGTGTTAACATGTAATGTTTATCACTGAAGAATATCTTCAGGCAAGAATGCTGGTATCTAACGGCATACGGTTCGCATCCAATCTGTCATTTGGTCGTTAATCAACAATGTACATATGATAGCGCGTATAAGGGGATTTGATGAATATTAGTATCAGCGGCTTCATTATTCATGACATTTGCATTTTGACGTGACGCGTCGAGTGGCCTCGACTGGACGCCATTGAATATAAAATGTGGGTCATTTCAAGAAATTGTACACGCGTAAAGCTCTGAAATCCGATGGCCTTGAACGTGACGCAGAGTGCAATTACGCGGTTACGTGGTCCGAAATAATTTAATATTACCCGATGTCCCTCGATGCGCGCAACTTAGTTTATTGGCCGGTGGGCCTAATGCTGCCGCTCCAATCTAAATACTAACATTAATAATTATTATTTTATTAATTTTATCTTATACTGCATTACCTTTTATTCATAAAATTTATTATTCTAAATGTCAGAGAGCTTTATAAATTGCGTATTTAATTGCAGAGGATTTTATTATACATTTATACCTTAGCATTAAATTAAAAAACAGTTCTTTGGCCGCAGTAATATTTTTAAAGGCGTCCTTAGTACAGTTAGTTTTATTAATATAATTATATTATACTTTCCCACCTGCAAAATTTATTTCAGCTCAAAGGCTACAAAGTGACGGATGTGACTCGCACGCGGAAAATCGGTATTGCTTGCCGGAATTTGCAGGATTTGAAACAGAAAGCGTGTTTAAAATTAAATGTAAGTATATATTAATATGAAGTGGACATTAACTTTGCATTGTTTAAGCTAATTTCGGACGACGCGTTCGCTCGCTATGCGTGCGCCGAAACAAAAAGCAATGAATAATTCAATGCATTTTCACGCAATGTAAACTACGCGTACATGAAAATGCAACAAAGTTCATCGTGCAAATGCCGTGCATTTACATTTATTGAGAATTTAGATGCCGATGATTGGCATAGATTTTAACTAGATTCACGTGCTTTCCATTTATGTGCCGTGCTGTTCTGTACGACATACGTACGATTGTTACGTAAATAACGCGAGTTTTTGTTTCAGTAATAGAGTAATTTACTTACAATTAGAGCGTTGAAAACACCTTCGAGACGAGCGTCAGTGCAATCACTGACGTATCCTCGATAGAACAAAATATTAAGAAAATCAATCTCGCCAATTGTAGTTCGAATATCTTTTGTTTAAAAAAAATTTTAAGTACCGGTATTGTTTACAGTAACAAAGTGACTGCGATACAATGGAGAGCAAAAACAGCACCCGATGCAGATGCATTGAATGAGCGTAAGTCGACTCATTGCTGCTCGATTTACGGCCATTAAATGCCTCACGGTATGTGGAATTTGTCCTTGCGGTCGAAAGCAAGAATAGCATCCAGTGCATGTGCACTTAAACGATTCATTGTTGTATAGATTTACTGGACCCTCGACACTCGTTCAATGCATCTCTTCCTCTCCATTATACGCGTACTTAATCATTTGAATCGCGCCGAATGAGTCCTGCTTTCGTTCCGATTTTCTTCCAAGCTGCTTGGCGATCATTAGCGTTCGCGCTAAATTTTAATCGGCCGTACGATTATACGCAACAATTTTCAGGGTAACAGGTGTAGCAAATTGGAACAGACATGTGGCATAGGTCATAGTGTTTGCTTAATATAGCGTTGCGAAAATAGAAAGCCATTCATCAAACACGTACAGTGGTTTGCAGCGGGTAACAAGAATGTTCTGCAGAAATTATGCAACCTAACAGATGTACTCTTGAAATATCGTCTCATTAAGTGCGAACATTATAGCTCAGTGTAGAGATACCCAAGAAAATAAAATTTTATTTACATGTTAAGACTACACTGTTTCATTTGCGTAACATGATTTTTATGCGTATTGACATCCTCTAGTAAACAATCTTTTCTTCTTTAGCCTCAATTAGTAAGCGATTCAATTTTTTTCATTCTTTGCAATATTATGCAAAATGCACTTATGGCGGGAGATGCATTGAACGAGTGTTGAGAGTTGAATAAATCTCTACAACAATGAGTCGTTTAAGCGCCGGTACTTGAAATCTAACAAGAAATACGAACTGGAGAAATGAAATGTCGCTCGCGATATTTGGCGCGTCGGTGTTACCTTAAATCCATTGATACGAATGCTTAATGCAATTGCGGTAATATCGATAAAGAGACGCGTAAATGGAAGTGTATTCTGAATTACGATCGCGTCAATATATCGAACACATTTTTCAACGACTGCTCTCGATGTGGAAAAGACCGAAAATATACGGCGTAACCGGTGATAACATTTTGCGGATAGATAGGTCGATCCAGTTGAAGTGCGTCCTTGAAATCCGCATCCGCTCGCCCGCAACCGCTGGCTCTATCGAACCAGCCGGGCCAGGGACAGGAAGTAATCTCAATGTTAAGGTCGTGAATCCGCTTTTCGCACTGGCTTAAAGGTCGACCCAAATAGTTCGCTAGGTCAATGTCAATCCGAGCCAACGCGCAAAATCACAATCCTCGCCTTTGAAAATTACATTCTCGATTAAAGCGTTACTAAAATACATTGTCCACGTCAGCTACGTGCAATGTATTCAATACAATTAAAAATTATTAGAAAACTGCCGTATTGCACATACATGTGATATAATAGCATTAAATTAAAACGGAACAATTTCGATTGCGTTAAAATGTATTGCTAACATTAATGCCATATCGCGACTGTAATAAATGATTTGTCCCTGTAAGTTTTATAACTAATATAACACTGGATTTTTAATAATTGTAATGTAATATGATTAATTTATTCTTTCCTTGTTATTTATGAGAGCTGAAACTTTTAACAACTTTGTTGTTCGATAATAACTGAAGGCTCATAGGATGCTCGGTAATTTACAGCATCGACTTCCATTGTTCAGAATTGCTAGAGAAATGTAAAAATGATGCCGTCATGTCGGGAGAAGCGATGTAAAAGTTGATGAAAACTTCATATTTAGCCTTCGGACGATTATTTATATTCCCTTCGGGAAACTAACGAGGATGTATTATATTGTAGCTTTGACGTTTGTTTGAGATATTGAATATTTTCTCGTATTACTTAATTATTTATTCAAAATAGTTAGTTTACGGACATTAATTAATTCGCAAAGAGAAAAGGTCTCTTTCGATGTAAATAAAATTAGCTAGAATGGTAAACTGATCGATTTTGCATTTTTGTAGGTAACTAACGACCCGGGGGAAATAAATGTCTTCCTTCTAGACGGATCATTGATCGACGAAGAGTATTTTCACACATTGGCGCCACAGACTACTTTGATTTTGCAGAAGCCAGGGGAAAAGGTGTTATCCGGTTAGTATAATTTATAATACAATATTGATAATTTTGTTAATACGTTTTGAAACTGGAACAATTTTTAATGTGGTTATATTAGCAACGATAGAAAAAGGTATCGTGTGTTCCGAATTTGAATATTCTATCTCTGGTCTTTAAAAGATAATTTTAATCCTTCTCTCTCCTCTCTCTCGTTTCAGTTTCAACCAATAAACATAATTAATTATTGCGTGCGGAAGGATTAAATTTAGAAAAACTAATTGCCGTAATAGCTGTGGAAAATTACCACGTTATCATTGTTTCTTTTTCGAGAAAATTTAAATATACGCGTAAATCTTGTGTACACGTACAAAATTCTTGCAACTGATGCTGTTATTGCAATCAGTTTTTCAACGGTTTTGATCTGAGAAACACATTGGTCTAAAAATTCAACGTAAGTTAATTGCGGTGCAATTAATAGTTCTCAGCCTCTCGAAGTTTGCGAAATTCTTGACAAGGTCGAGCGCGGTACGTGGAATAAGAAAAACAAATCGCAATCTTTTCTACACGAGCGAGAACGGCGCGCGATTTTTTTTTCAAGGACGAACCTTTTTCCGCAGACGCGGACATTCTCTACGATGCACTGAGACGCGTGAACATTGATTTCCTCACCGCCGGCGGCAGAGTGACGCAATTCCTAACGGAAAATCTTAAGGCAAAGGTCGCCTTGTTGAACAAAGTGTTGAACAAGGATGAATCCAAGACAGCGCTTAGCACGAAGGAGCAGCATCCGGAATGGTTTGAAAATTTGGAAACCAATTGCATGACGAAGGTGAGTTCAATAAAGCGAAACGTGTCTTGAAATTCTTACTAAATTTAGGTGTTTAAAATTGACACATTCTGCGAACGCCGTTGTTAAATGTCTGTGAAGTGTCTTGGATGTATGCATACGCGTTATCTAATATAATTAATATTTTTTTTACATTTGCAAATAATACTTTTTGGTATCCATAACCCTAGAATTAAGGGAAAAAAGATATAAATCGATCCTTTACTTCATGCACAGGAAGCATACATGCACCGCAGATGCCAGGATAGAATACGTGCTTATCTTTACAAGACGATCGAGCAGATCAAGTGCTCGGACGCGTTCATGAACGATTCTAAGGCGAGGCAGCAGCTGCTGAGTACAATAGCGTTCTTCAAACTTCAGCTCAAGGAGGATCACTATTTCGGATATTATTTTGACAGGAGTAGAGCGGAGACTGACTCGAAAAGCGACAGTGACGAGACCGATTGCGGCCGATGTTACGATCATTGTCCCTGCAATTTTGCTCGTATTAACGATGAAACATATCTCGATCAACGGTATCTCCGTCTGTCACAATCGTTAGATACAAATACGACCGCCGATTCGGATGAGATCGACGAAACGGACGCGAGGAAGTTCCTCGCGTCGGAGAAGAAAAGCGCGAAAGTGGCAAGCGACGAAAAATCGGAGAGCTGTCCCTACCGCGTGAAGCCGCGGGAAAGGCAAATCGCCATTTGCGACAAGAAGGGCGAGTTTAGATGCGAGGGTCGATGGAACACCGACGGTTGTCCCTACGGCGACAAACACAAGATCAATCCATACAGATCCAAGGAGGAGCTTGCCTTATTCTCAACATGGAATTTGGATCACACGTAAGATAACGGTCGCATTTGTTTCAATTAACGCGAATCAGTCTACGCCCCGGATTACCTCGGGAAATTATTAACAAGCGTGCACGCGCACAAATTCCTGCGATAATTTAAATCTAGAACAATTTTATTTATTTGATACGCGCAATACCAATATCCGGCGCGCAATAATCGGCAAAACTTGATTACTTTTTATCTGTTGCGCTCGATATTATATACACGGCAAGCGATTTGTTTATTTTGTAATGAATATAAATTTGATAAACTCCGTTTTTAGGGGAGTTTATTTAATTGCTAGAGAGAAGTTAATAAAATCGCAGATCCGAAACAACTCGGTTATTTGTTTGCAGAATCGAGAGGTCCAGGACGCTTATTCCGAAGCTGCTGCAGCTCTCGCGGCAAGATACGATCAATGAACAGGACATCTACGACTGTTACGACAATCTGTTTACGGTGAAAAATTTAAGACTGGTTCATATCGTATGCCACGATAAAGGTTCGCACAAATAAGCACTAATTCGGGGGATTATAGGCTTGGCACATATATTCTAAAAGTGCTGATCGTAATATACGTGAATGCCAAAGAGTAATCGTACACATGAAAGGGACGATGCATCCAGATATGTAGTAATACATGTAGAATGCCCGCGATCCCTTCAGATGCAGATCTCTACAAATAAATGTATTTATTACGTTTAAGCGCTGTCGATAGAATATAGATTTAGCGATTATTAATGTTATATCGGGTGTACTTCCATTGCGGTATGAAATAATAAGCAATAACATTAATAATAAAATGTCCATTCCAAAGTTCGAAACATCCGAATTTGCATCACTTCTGTTTGTGGAGGATAGACAATTCAATTTCATACAATATTGATACACGTTAATTACATACGAGTTTCACTCTGAATGATTATTCTGAATAATTAATATTCTATTATACAAGACGTTAAGTAGAACAGGGTTGAATAATGCCAAAAATTATCGAAAATACGTTGAAACTGTGCTCACTCTTAGGTATTATTTGACGAACGTCAATATATTGGTGAAAGATCTGAAAATATACGTACAATTAAGAAAGAAATTCCATATTTATTGTATAAATAAGAATAATCGAAGATGTACAGAAGATCTCGCGATATCTTAATTATACACTTGTTACGGAATAACTATTCCTAAGATAAATTTCCTTCGTCATTCTGTTTCTGTCGACACAGTTGAGTAACGATTTTTCGGTTCAAACAAGCTATTTGTATAAATCAATTACGAATACAGGGTTGCATAAGTCGCACGCAATGGAAGAACCGTAATTTACTCCAGCGGCTATAAAGGGTTGCCTAAGAGAAAAGCTGTTGTTTCAGAGATGTCGTTAAGCATTGAGTATGTTCAGTGCTCGTAGGTAAAATCTATTAACGAGTGACAGCTCTCCGTTAGCATCGTGTCAGATCAGAACGGAGTCTGAGCGACAGGTCTCCGTTAGACTCGAGTCAGATTAGTTTAATTTGTGATCTGAATCGACTCCGCTGAAGAACCGATGCTCGTCTTGCGCTCCATAAACTGTGAAGTAGATTATCTTTCAGACATATTTTTATTCTGACTGCTCGTTAAGAGACAAAACAAAGTTCTGATATATACATATACATATATACATATATATATATTTAGAGAAAGATACATATATATATGATATATTTATTTATATATAGCTCTAGGGCTTTCCACAATTTCCGCGATTCCATTCATATTTATATCAATTTTTTATTTCAAGTAAATTGTTTCTTGACAAAAAGGTGGAAGATTATTTCTTAACGTTTTTCTATCAATATTTTTATAACTAAAAATCAAAATTTTATTATAGAAGAAGAGAGAATGAAGTTCGATATAAAATTAAACGAGGAATAAAATCTTGTTATCTATGTGCGCCTCATTGAAACTCATGAAAATGCCTACATTTTCGCATGCTTGTAACTACAAAATTATATTGATATCAGTGTTAAAATAATTAAAGATTAATAAAATCAAAGAGAAACCAATTTAAGTAAAAGGAAGTGCGGAAATTCTGAGAGAGGCATATACATCTTTTTATATGTATTATATTGAAGTGATGTGTTTTAGAAATTTTCACCATTTAAAATGGTATATTTCCAACATTTAAGAGGAAATTGCACAAAAATATTTAACGTTACTAATTTTTCTTTCTCTGAGTCACTTTTTTGTGTTGTAAATCACATGGATTTAATTAGAAACATATAACTGCAAGTCTCGAAAATAAAAGACCCGTGTCATCAATATGAGTGATAGACTGATGTACGCAAGAATGTAATTTTATATTTTACATAATATTTTTATATCGTTCCTATTTATTATTATTCGAGAGTATTTGTTTTGATTAAATTTATTCGTGCTGCACATCGCTGAGCTGTATCAAATCCTGACATGTTATCACATCAAAAGATATCGTTCCTAATTTAATCGAAGGATTTGACTGCTTCACATACAAGTTTGTATATTGTACGCATTGTTGTACACCGTATATTGTCGTCTACAGGGTGCAGAATTGCAGAAGCAATTGTTATGGCTTTGACCAATGTACGTCTTGCTCTTCTGAGTAGACTTCTGCCATTCATATCGCTTCCGACGTTTAAAAAGTATTATATATTTCGGTGGACGCATCAGCAAATAAATTAAATTAAGGTGACTTATTTATATATCTCAAAAAATAACGAAAGTAATGTGAAAGAGATGTAAAATCAACAAAACACAGATAAATAATTGATATAAGTTATACAGTAACTAAAAAAATTTATCGTGTATTACGTTTCACAAAAATAAAATAAAATAAATAATAAAACACAACTTAATTTATATGGATTTTTACTAGAATATTTTTAAATTATTGTTTAAAAAATTTTTTAATTATTATTTTATATACGTTATACAAGCAAATAAATTTAATGAACATTCACTGATGCGCCTATCCTATATAAAGTTGCGATAACATGCAGAATTAAACTTGAAACGAAGTAGAATTAATCTCGTTGCTATCGAAAATATGAAATAAATTTGATTTTCTGACTAAGTTGCGCCGATGTTTAAATCACGGTAATCTAGAATCATACATTTTACATTTCTTTCTCGGTTAGTCTTTAAACAACCGAAATATGTTCTATATTTTCGATAGCAATGCGAATTTTTCAATTATTCGTTTAAGCACTTTATTCTGCATAAACATATTTTGACTGATATTTTATTTACATACTAAAGTTTATCTATATTTTTTATCTAAAGCTATAGGAACTTATATGATCGTGGCAACATAATTAATTGTATTATATTTACTAATTTTACCTCATTGTTAATTAATGATGTTGATGGTAAACAGTGCTAGAAAATCTAAGCGTTTATCATACAATTACAATCGTTAATTTTATTATCAATTACATTAATGACAAAATGTATCGGTCCAAATTTTTGATTGCTGACTAATTTGTTTCATATAATAATATTTTGGTAAAAAGAGTCGATATTTACAAATTGTCCGCCAGCAATGCAGAATAAAAATACCAAGTGTGGAATATATACATTCTTAATATAAAACACTATATTATACAAACAAAGATTAATAATACGATAACTATCAACTTAATAAAGTTAGCACGAATAGAAATTCCTTGGCACGATACCTTGAAGAGCTGTTTTATTATTATACGTTACAGACTATTTTCTTAGAATATTTTTCAGTAATTCACAACTCAATTATATCTTATCATCAAAATTTGATAGTTTTTAATATTGACGTTATCTAACGCTGTATAATATTGATATTTTTTTTCATTAAAATGACATAATATCTTAATAAGGAAATAATGAAAGTTATAGAGTATTTCACACACGCGCGCGCGCGTGCGCTTGGGATTTTTAAGTGCGAATTTGCTATTCTTTATTTTTTGGGGGGATTAGATATTTTTATAGAATTTTATATTTTACGAATATAATCTTTTATAATTTAATCAAAATTTTTTTCATAGATAAATTATACAACATTTTAAAATAAACAAATATTTAATGGATAAATTAAAAAACAAATGTTTTATAAAATAAAATGTAAATGGTGTGTCTACTCCATATTTGGTATTTTCTCTTTATATATTTTTCAACGCTTTTATTGAATGAAGTATTCGTAGGCAATTTGAGTGACCTGTTGTTTCCGATAAATTTTTAATCAACTGGGTCAATGCAGTTCAACAAAGTTTCATTCGTTACATGATGTGTGTATTGATGAAAATTGGCATTATTAAAAGTCAGTTTGTCGAGAATTATTTTTTCTTCAAAATTTATCGCTTTTGTCCTTTTCTTTTTCACACAGAAATACTTCATGGAGAACAATTTCTTTCTTTTAACTTTTCATGCATCTACGTACGATGACAGATATAATTGATATAATGGTTTTGTTTTCACCGCTCAACTGTTAAACGTTAAAATTGTAAACTGGCATGTTAAGTGTTAATTAATGTTAGCAAATATATTCAAAGTTTATCTGGAATTAATTCAAGAGCAACGCTCTTGAAATAGCGATTAGATATCGATTTCCTGCCATCTTCTCTTGCTAACCATCAGAGATCTATAGCTTCGAAATACAAGAGTGACACGTTAAATGTTAAAAATATTTTGATGTGTTTAAAGCATAGATTATAAAAAAAAGGAGAGAAAAAGAACGGATATGTTGCCTCGTGCATCATTGTTTTCCAAGACTTTTGTTATACCATACAATTCTATGTATATTATATATTATATTATATACAATACTTATCTACGACTAAGTTTTTAATTTCCGTTGAAAAACGACAACAAGGTTTCAACTTTTATCATGATGTAAAACAAAATGTGTTTTTAACAGAAGAGGAAAGAAGAAAAGATTTCTCAATTCCATCATGATATATCGACATACATTATGGAGTAATCGAAAACTGCATAGAAGTGCAGTACTTCTATACATATATATATAGGTTACGTGTAAATATAGTATTTTTCAATGTACAAAAGAGAACTGCGTATTTTAATTTAGAAAAATATATTTTAGGTACAAGACAGAAGAGTTTTATTTTCATTCCCATTCTATATAAATAGGTATTGACTTTGTCATGAATAAAATTATTATGCTTCATGAAGTATGAATATAATTATATAAGAATTCTTCTTTCTTGCAGAGCTGACATCTTCTTAACTTCTATTAATATATATTCGAGTTACATTCGTGTAGAACGTTTATAGGTTACATATATAGGAGTAAAAATACGAAAATTTTATCTGTCATCTCACGGGGCATCGCGCACAAAATATGATACGTGATTTCCGAGCCATTTTGTGTCGGAAAAGGTGTCGTAAAAAGTTTATGGATACGTCGAATGCTATCCCTAGGCGGTATCCGATCGTAGGAATTTAAACGTTATTTTTTAGACGAGAAACGTGCTATCGAAATCACAGCGATGCAAGTTAAAGCAGACGAAATGTTACGAAAGACGATCACAAAGGGCGGAAAAATTTATGGCTGTTAGGGTTATCGGCAATTTGAACAACGAATTCACTTTGATCAGTGATGATAATATCGTTCGTTTAATCCAGTGATCATAATTCATCAACTCTTTCAATTAATCAATATAATTCGAATCGCATTGCGAGTTAAATTTTACATATCAAAATAATCCGATAAGTAACTTATCTAGCAGATTAGTTAGAAGAGAAAAGTATACAAAAATAATTATAGCGTAGTGCGTTCTGGTCGCCCGAGTTTGCAGGATACTCAAATTTTCTTTCAATTCGTTTATACTGTGAAATGCTATCTGATATGAATAATAAAATTTTTAAAAAAATAGAAAGAAAAAATTGAAAGTCAGTAAGAGGATAGGACCTGATAGGATATTATTCTATTCAAGCTTTCTCTATTTTATCAAGCGTTTTAATTTGAGCGGTCTGTTTTAGCAAGTCACATGATAATAGTTTTATTGTAAATTCAGCCTGAATAATTAAATTTTTGCTCCTGTATATATTGTAATCGAGATTATTTTCATTGTTTGCTGTTCCACGTTGAATCGCAAAAGTCGTAAAAATATTACAATAAAAATAAAAAACGGAGAGAAAATATATAAAAAATGCGCAGGTGTCTCTTATGTGTACGTATTTTAATTTATTTAAGATTAATTATGTTTTTTTTTACCGTTAATAAAATACACCGTATTCTTTATTCAGTTGATAGAACGGAGATTCGTTTTTATTGCGTTTCTTGCAAAAAACGAACAGCCCGCATCGAAAGTTTATTTTAAGCGTGGGTGGAGTTTGAATTGAGATTTTTGATTGAATTTCGTCCGCATACCAATTTGCTCGGCACATGCAAGCGCATATGTTTCTTTATTATCGCGCCCGCAACGTAATACGTAATGCCACGGATAAACGAAGCTTTTCCATCTAGTTGATTGAACAAGTCATTTAAATCAATTATACTAATCTTACGAGAAGAGGATTAATTTCGGTTAAAGAGCAAAAAGTGAAACGGGGCTAATAATAAATGGCGCGGGTGACAAATGGATTTCCAATTAATCGAGTGGATCGAATGAATACTAAACATACGGTTAGCGAAACCGCCTCTTCCGCTCGAGAGCGGTGTCGAGAAGAGAGTGTGTCCCGTTGCGTGTCGTTCACCAGGAAAATCTCGCAACAAACTCAAAGAAGGAGCTGTCAAAGTGGCAGCTGGTGGATTTATTTGTAATCAAGACCACCCCGGAGGACCACCCTGGCTACGGATAACGAGAATAAATTTTCATTTCACGTGTCGGTGAGTTTTTGCGGCTGAGTGACCCTCCATGGGTAACCCCCCGGGGTGCAAATTACCTCACAATATGTTGCCGATTGTACTGGGCGAAGTCGAAAATCGATACATGTCAGGGGCAAGGAGGATCGCTGGAAATGCCGCGTATCGCCCCTTAAAAGTGCGGATTTAGCCTCGATTCCCTCTCTCTTTCTCGCTTTTCTTCCCTGGCCGGCACCCCGTCGACGGAAGCGTGCGTGCGGAAAAGCGGCCAGAAGCGGGAACGAGGAAGAGAGAGAGAGAGAAAGCGGGCTTTATACCCGTTACGACCCTATGAACGGAATTCGAGTTGGCTCTCCACTCCACCTCCCACTCTCTCGGTCACCCTCTCCAACTCTTGAGTGACTTTACTGCCGGCACTAATCACTTCACTGCGAAACGATTTACTGATTTATCGTTTAATTTCGCGTAGATAGCTTCCCGATGGTCTCTCTCTCTCTCTCTCTCTCTCTCTCTCTCTCTCTCTCTCTCTCTCTCTCTCTCTCTCTCTCTCTCTTCGCGACACAGAACACCGAACAGCACACGTATGCAAAATTCTTGAGCACGGACGGACGAGAGATCCAGATCGCGCAACGATAACAAAGGATCCTTCACCGTAGCGGCGACCGGCAACAATGAAATTCTATGAATTTATTAGCAGGCAAACGACGAAGCTCTTTACGCGTGCGATATCAATGCGTTTCGGTGCGTCTATCAGGCGAATCGTGTCGCGAGAGCAAAAATACACGCTCGAGAGCGCACACTCACGGCAAACGTACCGGGAACAGCGGAGAGTCTCGTGTCTTCTTAATTCGCGGATGGTGAATTTTTCACAACATCAAGTTTCAAGTGCGCCGCAAATAAACACATGGCTCGTTACGCCGAGTACACCGGGATGAAAATATCGGCCGTTGCGCGATAAACGAAACGATAGTTGAGGAAAATATATCAATCGCCAGGAACTATTAATTACCACAGTGGGTAAGGAACGCGAGCGTTTGTCCCCGTACTCACCGCGATCGCGCGAAACAATGGCTCGAGGGCGATGATCGTAT